AGCCATGTAATTAATAGAAATAAGGTAATTTATACAAATACTATCACTGTAGACAACTTAAACAAAACAGTATTTTGTTTTGTTTAAGTTGCAAATGTTTATAATGTGTATGGCATGCAATTAAGAAAATATTACTTTGAATAATTAAAATTGTGAAAAATAAAGACAGTGTTCTCATTTTGAGCAGTTTAGTGGGATTATTTATTATAATCAAGAAGTAATAAAGACAATATTCACATTTTGCACAGTTCTGTGGTAATTTTTATTAGAATCTAAATTAAACTTTACTGCTTTTACGTCGTGAGCAACTGGGACTGATCTAGAAATGCAGGGGGGGGGAGGCTAAGCACAGAATTTTGGTCATTNGGGGGGGCTAAGCACAGAATTTTGGTCATTACTTTAAACAAAATTTACAAGTTGTTTGATTATGAAGTTTTTAAAATTATTCATAACACAACTAAATAACGATGTATCAGTAAATTTGAGCATATATTTATTTAAATTTTGTTACTTCATAGCTGTAAAAGATAATTCTTAAGGAAAAGCAACAAAAAAAAATCATTTGTAATATTGCTATACCATCTTATAATTGCAAAAACATTCTTTATTTTTATTTATCTTGTTTTTAGCTTTCATGAATTTCATTAAATTAAAAAAAAAAATATTGTCTGAAATACTGAAGAGGACATTTACCTATCTCCCCCACCCTAACGGCGACATAATATTATGTAAACATTTACAAGGAAGAAATAAATCCCGAAGCACGTGTGAATACGAAATTTGTCGCCAAAATCATACAAACACTAGCCAGTAGCCACCATCTCCCTTCCCCCAAACAGTGATGTCATTTTCGACCAATAGCGTTATCCGGCCCAAGTGAGTATTAATCGCTCGTGTTATTCTGCATACTTGGAGAGAAAAAAAACTGAGGATTCATCGTCAGAGTGGGGTTGCCTAGAACAACACGAGAAAAGTTTCAGTACACCCTTTAAGAACTTCCTAACAAAAGATTTACTGATGTTGCATAGGGTGTATTTAACTGCGTCTGTAGACCTCGAGTGTCCCTAATCCCCTAAACGTTCGGTTGCAGCATTGTTAAGATTTTCTAAAAAACGTGTCTATGTAACAGCAGATGTGTACTATAGTTCGTTCACCAGGAGCTGACACTTGGCTCCACCTCCTCGGACGCATTCCAGCGCGGGTGTAAAAAGAGAAACATCTCCGCTCTTGAAATTGAGACAACCCTTAACGCGCGCCAAACACAAACAGTGAATTCTTTTTCAGTCACTTAATTCGCTTTATCATCTGCTATTATACCTTTCTTTTCTCTAACTAATTAAATATATTCTAAATTTAAAAACTGCTGTTTTCCCAGCAAAATGTCTCAAAAAGGACAAACAATTCACTCAAAAGGGAGAAATATCATAAAAAAGGAGCGAAGTATCATCAAATTTATGAAATATTAAAAATATGCACATAAAGTGTGCGAAATAAATATCGCCAAATCGCAACCTTGTTCAGGATTGTTCGCATCTTTCTCCCAAAAACAGCGAAATAGTATTGTCGCATACCACGTAATGAAGGCGGAGCCAATTCCTGGTGAACGAACTATACCTCAAATTCAGTAATCCCTCTCCTTTCTGCAGAGAATATGGATAGTGGGGGAGGAAGGGAGTGCAAAATAACTAATGACGTCATGGCAACAGTTCTGGGCATTTAACTGATAAAACCTCTATTCTATGAAAAAATAAATGTTTAGATTCGTCCTAGGTTAAATCTAGAATTAGTTAAGACTCATTCTACTAAGGAGAATTAGTAAGCCAACGAAACTGGGATGCATCAAATTTCCATTTATATTTACTGCAGTGATATCTTACCTCTCACCAATTCATTTACTTCTGCAAAACGACTCCTCTTGATTTGAATTCGCATTTTATAAAATATTTCAATTCATAGTTTTCTATGAGAAAAATCAATCCTAAGACATTTGCCTTTGGCTTAGAATTTTGAAACTTGGCTAATGCGTTTGACATTCAACAAATTTTTTGGTTAATAATTTGAAGTTTTTAATCGATGGCCTTGTATCTGTCTATCGAGATATATAACTTAAAAAGCTTCAACTAATCTTAGTAATTCACTTACCTAAATCTTTTTCTTAATTTATAATTCTATACAGAATGCTCTTTCTCACACTTTAATATTCACATCCTGTCTTTTAATCTATTTTTGGCTTTAAGTCATGCATTGATTAACATTTTATCGTTTTTCCTTTTGCTAACTCGTGAAAGACTTATCCCTTGACCTTTTTAATAGACCAATTTGAATTAAAATTTCCCTTATCCCCTAAAACGAAACATTTTACGAATTTACTTTGCGAAACTCTCCCTAACTTTTATTGAGGAGCGATTTGATTTCGTATCACTTGGAAGATCGTTTACAGATCAGTATACGTTTGTCCGGTATACCTAACACGGATTTTTTTTAAACTTAAAGTGTCATTGCTCCTGCTGTTCCCAATACTGCCCATCGAGATCAAGGGTTGCGTTTGTGGTCTTGAATTCGTTCACCATGATGTGGTGGTATCCTATAACGTAACAGTATCCAATATATCTGCGAATGAAAAGTCTTATCTTAAGGTATAACTGGTTTTGAACTTTAATCGGAAAATCTTAGGTTTTATCAGAATCCTTGGTAAAAGTCCAAATTATATTAAAACAGACTTTGATGATGCACTTTGGCGAATATTAGGTTTTACCGATAACTCCTATGATTTACTAGACTTTGAGTTTTAACAGTGACCAAATCATTTTTAGACACGCTTTATTAGCAAATCCACAATCGTGATGCTTTTCTGACCATTTCTTAATAGGTTTTCAAATTCCAATAATTTTTTATATGACATAACGACACAAGAATTTTAAATTATAATCATATTCTGACGAATTTAATATGCCACATTCCACACTAATTCAGCTTTTTTACCAATCGTTTTTTTTTCGTCCAATCAAATCCTCATTTGTTTATTTTTTAATTCTAAGATTCTGATATATGTTATTCGTGATCACAACGCATGAATACGCCCTCTAGAGGACGGAAATTTTCAGACCATTATTCATTAGATTTTCATTCAGTACCCTAAGAATAACTGCAAAGGTAGGACGTGTTTTTTCCATCAGAAAAGAGGAAACAAGAAATTTCCCTAAGAAAAAATCTGATGAACTTGACAAAGCAATCTAGAACATCGGTAAATCTTTTCGAAACAGAACGCAAGTAACATTTCAAGAGCATTTTTTCATTAATGCTTTTCTGATAAACGAACATCATTTCAGTGAAATGGGAACTTTCGAATTCGTGATGACATACCATTACGGAAGTATATTACGGCAAAATAAATTTCTTAATGATCAATTCAATTTGTATTAAAATGAAAATATTTAAGTTCCTTGCCTACTTCATCTCAATAAATAAATGGGATTTCAGAACCCCTAAGTCAAAATTTTTGATGGTTTACCATTGATGGACCAACATAATCTTGATGGTAACCAGCATAAGCAACCTTCACTTCAATGTAGGAATGCGGACTGATGGTCCAACATAATAGCAACTTGTTTTGATGGTTTGTTCACGTGAAACCATCAGAAATTTCCATCATAGTTTCTTAGAAATCATATGTTGTAACGATCCTGAACAACCATTACCCCAATGTAGGAATTTGGACTGATTTATGATGGTCCACCATTAAAAAAACCTAATTGTTTTGATTCCTGAGAACCAACAAGGATTCCCACAAAACATCATGTATAGTTGAAACTATCACGGTCCATGAGACTTCTCTTGTTAGTTAACCATAATAGTATAAAAGTAGCATCATGGAATGATACAAGTTTGTTAGCATATGGAAAATGAAAACAAACCATGAATACGAAATGGAAAATGTAGGATGATGGTGACCATCGCTCTGAAACCAGCATAAACCATCAAAAAAGTTTCAATGGACCATCAAGAATTTTGACTTGAGCGTGTAAAACAGTTCTTAAACATTCTTCCTTATAGAATAACATACATCGAAAAACAGTAAAGGATCAGCAGATTTACTTGAAGTAGTACATTTCAGTGGATTATTACTACAGTTTTAATGTTTTAAGTGTGCCTATAGGTTAATCCGGCCATGCTTCTATAGGTCGTTGCGTTTGCGAATAACGAAACGCGATTAAACAATTAATTTTCACTTAAAAATGTCGGTTCCGACGGCTGCATTACAAATTCATATAGGTTTCCTGAGCTTTTATTTATTGTTTTTCGGCTTTTCTCGCAAGGTGTTTTGAGTTCTGATATTGCTATTTGAATTTGATAATTAGATTTGACGCTACTCGATAGTTTGGTAATTATATATTATTTACAACCGTCGTATATTTCTAAAATGAGTATAATTTTTTCCTGAAAAGGTCACTTTTTGGCTATTTCTTGTAAAATAAAAATAGTCAGGGCTAAAGAGAAGATGAAGAAGGGCTGGTTCATTTCATACTCAAAGCTGAAGCTATGATTCCCCATCTCATGACGTCAAGTCGCACACAGATCTCAAAAATCAGAACTAGAGGATATGAAAATTTTTGAAGTTCAGGATTTAATATTCTTTGACCAGGATTTTTTTTCTTTGATGTTCAGAATTTGTTTTCTTTTCTGTTTAAAGTTATCTTTAAACGTCTAAACAAAAAACATGAAATATAATACTTTTATTCACAGCAGAATAAATTCTTCCAGTATATTTAATACCTCATTTGATGACACCTTTATATTTTCTGGAATAAAACATAGAAAATTGTGTTTTCTCATTTTGTGTTTTATAATAATTCTTGCCGGTCGCTATCGTGCGAGATGTTATTGGCTACTACTGTTAAATTTTTGCAAACAGGTGTGAAGAAAATAACCTTTAAAATAAATATTTTAAAAAAATATAGAAAACAATGAATGTTTTGAAATAAGTTTAAAAAAGACGCTAATTAGATGCGAAACAGTTTATTTGTAAAGCGAGAAGCTGAGACTTTCGCCACCCTGACGTCACTGGTGAAATCAGAAGATTGGAGCGGCACGAGTCTCTTCAAAGGAGTGTGACCTAGCCCTTCTATTCTCTCTTTAACCCTAAAAATAGTAGCCTTAGTTGTTTCACCTCGATCTTGCCAAAGGAGGACCTGTAACTCTCTACCAGAAAATTAAAGGTGACCACCTGAAATTAAAAATAAGAAATAGCAATCAAATCACAAAATTAAAGAAACATTAATAAATTCATGACTTTCTTGTTATACAATATAAATGTGTACCGTGAGCAAAAAAAAAAAAAATCACTCTGAATAAATTTTGCTCTAAATGATCGGACTTTCCCGAAATCGGGCACAAAAATGTACTTTCTCTGAAAACACATATAATTTTTTTGCATATTTGAATTCCTAACCTTCTAAATATGCCGCAATATAGATTTTGTGGTTCTAATAGGGAACGGATGAAAATTTGGTCCCCCTTACATTATTTTCACTTTTAGCGTTTTTAATCATGCTTTATAGACTAATTTAGCAATTTCTAATTAGATTTCACACACTCATAAAACTCATTTACCCAAGGATCATTTCATGCAAAAACAATAATTTTTAATAATTATTTATAAATTTTTATTATTTCATTGTGGATGGAAAAAAATTTAATTAAGGTACAAATTTTTTATACCATATTAATCTACGTATATTTCTATTATGAAATCTAGTTTCAACTGCTTTTATTTAGTAGAAGCCGGGAAAAATTAAAATGGATTATTTTTAAAACAATAACTTAGGGACAAGAAGAATTATTTAAATGGGGCGATTAATATTAAAATGTGGTTAGCTCACGAGACAAACTTGACTTACGCATCCTTAGCGTAAAATTTCATTTATATCATATTTTTTGTAAATGAATGGTGGGTTAACGTTCCCTTGTCGTTAGGCTAACCGTGGGAGTGTTTCTCGGTTCTCCTATAACGTCCATGTAAAGCAAATGCTGGTTAGTTCCATCAAAATTTCCTCGAAGGCAAATTTCTCCCCATAATTGTTGATCCTGGAGTTCCCTAGTCTTCTGGAGTGGGTTCAAAATTTTAAGGCTTCGAAGTTGAACATTAATAGTAGTAAACCCAAAATGGAGTCGGCTGTTTAACGACGGTTATAAAATAAAATAACCAATCGCTAAAATATTTTTTAAAAAAAAATTCGCAATCCCAACGTGTGAATATACCCTCTAGCGGGGCAGAAATTTTCAGGCTACTATTTATCAAGTTTTCATTCAGTAACATCAGAATATCTGCATAGGTAGGACTTGTTTTTTCCCACCAGCAAATGGGAAACAAAATTTCTCTAAGAAAAAAGCTGAAAAACTTGACAAACCAATCTAGAACATCTGTAAATCTTTTTTTAACAGAACGCAAACAACATTTCAAAACATTTTTTTTTCATTAATGCTTTCCTTATCAACGAACTTCCAACATTATTTCGGTGAACTGAGAACTTTTGATTTCATGATCGCATACTAATATGAATACGGTAAGATAAGTTTTTTACGGTTGAATTCAGTGTAAATTAAAATGAAGATATTTAAGTCTCTTGCCGACTTAATCTCAATGAATAAATGTGATTTAAGAACGTGTAGAACAGTCTTTTTTTAACATTCTTATTTTTTATAGAATAGCATATATTGCTGAATATATATAATTCAGAAAACAACAGTAAAGGATCATTAGTTTAACTTAATATAATATATTTGTATTGATAATTTATAAATTTTCCTGGTAAGTATTTTTAAATTTGAATGATCAATTTCAACTAAAATTCAGCTAATCTGTTATTAAGTGTCAAATTTAAACTTTTCTATAAAAACTGTTAAAAAACTTGTTTTTTAAAGTTAAATGACATAAGATTATACGTATAGTATATATACTTTAATGTTTGAATTAATTTGATACTGAAAATTCTGGGATGTAAAGTTTAAATAGACTATTCATATTCGATAGACTGTGCATATCAAATTTAGTAGACCAATTTCCCGAAAATTAGGATTTCTCTCTTACAAGAATATCGATGCATATTATTTTTATTTATTTAGCTATTTGCAAATATTTTTTCATTGGGCTTTAGGTTTTCCTAAACCCTTCCTACCAACCCCCATTTCCTAGTTCAGAAAGTTTTCATAATTTGTTAAATTTCAAAGATTTCACACTAAATTGTAGTTTTTGTATAAATAAAAAGAAATTATCTGCCATTTTCTTTGAAAGAAAAAGAACATTAATGAATATATTTTCGTAAGGAATTCTGATCGGCCCTTGGCAGTCCCCAGGATAACTGTCCCTCTCTTTGTTAATCTAAAAAAAAAAAAAAAATAAATAAATAAAAAAAAATATTATAACTTTTGCTTGTTTCAAAAGCTTTGGTGGGAGAAAGCGAGTTCACGATCTTACAATAAGCTAACTTTTTGTGACAAAATTCAGAATTTTATTTGATTTTTTTTTTGGCCAAAAATAAGTTAAAACCTGTTTTGCCGTAACTTTATATTTGATGGATCAGTTAAGAAAATGTTATCAGCTGTTAAGCAGGAGAGCTCTATGAGCAAACAAAATTCGTAAAATTTGCTCAAAAATTAGGTGTTTTGAACAAGAAGCTGTTTTGTAAAAAGTTGACAAACGGAAATTTTTAGCACGCAAAAAAGCTTTTTCTGTAGCTTTTCCTTAGAAGCAAACACTGTATAAAATTTTATACTTCGTTGAAAAGGGACAGATATTTTTTTTAAAGTTTTAAGTAGCTGTTTTAGCCTCAATTCTTATTTTGGTTTAAAAAAAATTTCTGGTTAACAATTTTTTACGGTTAATAATTTTCGAAAATGTGTCATCGTTGTGGTCAAAATTCTAGGTCAAAGCACTCAACACTGTAGCTCAATAAATTGTTAACTTCTGATATGACCATTAAATTGTTTGTAACAATTATTCTTTTTTTTTTATAGTTTGATGTATGAACTAACGATGTATTAAAACGATCATAAATTTGGAGACAAAATTTATACGTGTGATTTTAATGTCAAAAATTTGATGTAACGTTTTTTTTTTTTTTTTGCAAAAAATTTTTTGTGGTTGGGAAACTATTTTTTCAGATGGCTTAACGTAGAGGTGATCAAATCGGGCCAACATATGACACGCGAAAATAGTCAAGTGGTTAGAGAATCCATACTAATATTAAAAGTTTAAGGTTCTATAGATTTTTTTTCTCATTTTTTTATCAGTCTAGGAATATGTGTTAGTTTTCTATTGCTGATTTGTAAAGCCCGGATTTTGAAGACCCAAGAAATCTCCAAAAAATAGCAAAACATACCTTTAAAAATAGCAAAAAATACCACTACGAGGAAAAAAAGTCCCTTGTATTATTACAAGAATTAAATCTGAAAAACATCTTTTCTGAAATTTAATATAGCATGCAATTGTATTAAAACATTTTAATAAGAGAATATAAAACTTAATTTTCACTAATTCAAAAGATGAAAGGAAAACTCGTTTGATGCACTGTCAAATCGAATTCAGNTTTTTTTTTTTTTTTTTTTTTTTTTTTTTTCCTGAAGAAACTGCACCCCAGTTCCAGCTGTAAATCAAATAAGGCTCTAAGTTATTTGCAACTAGAACAGTCTACTAGCGTTAAAATGAGTGAAAGTTGTAAAAATAATTTACTTCTATTTAAAAAAAATTTTCTTCCTAAACTAGCAAAAGTGTCTAAATATGCAGATGTTATTAAAATCCAGGCTTTACTTATCTGTAATATAAACCGTAATATATATCTGTAATTCGTTAAATACCAATATAACTGACTAATGAACAACTTAATGATTTGCTTATTGTTACTTACAAGGGGATGGAGGGTTATTTTATTTTATAACTGTCGTTGAACAGCTGACCCAATTTAGGGTTTACGACTACTAATGTTCAACTCCGTAGCCTTGTAATTTTTAACACAATCCAGAAGACAAGGAAACTCATGGATCAAATATTGGGAGAAATTTACTTTCGTGGAGGAGTTTTTTGATGGGACTCGCATTTTCGTTACATTAAGAGAAAAACCACGAAAACTTCCTCTCGATTATACTGATGGCAAGGGGACTCTAACCTATGGTCCGTTTACCACTGAGGATATGTTACGTCAGCACTGTAGTCGGTGCGATCCGAGAGCGGAATTCGTATCGACCAGTTCATGTCATTGGGAGGCGAGTTCTCTACCCCCTGAGCCACCACGGTTTCTAAGAGTAAGTGGAATAGAGAGTTATGAGCAATGCTTGCTTAGGATCTTAAAATCTCCTTATTTTAATTTTTTCTTTAAAAATACTAGTAATTATAGTAACTAGATTTGAGCTCCTAACATAATAATTTTTGGAAAAATAGTTATATTGGTTGTAAAGTATTTTTTTTTTATTCTCATTTATCTTGGTTATAAGTATAAGATTTATATGCGTTATAACATATTAGTCACGAAAAATATGAATTTTTACCCACCGTCCTTTCTATTGAAAATATTTCAGATTGTCCACATTTCATTATTTTAAGCTTAATAGTTATCTAAAACATATTTTAAGCAAAATTTCTTTTTTAATTTTTTCTTCATTTAACCTCAGTTTTAGTAGTGATGTATCAGCGACACAGATATGGGAATATGTAGTTATTTAGAGAAACTGTTATTCATCATTGATATTTCGATAATATTCAAAATCAGTGGATAAGTTTTTGAATATGAGTGAAGTAATACATACTTTAATTTTATATTTTAGTACAAATATATAAAAACTGTCCGATATTTTTTTTTGTAACTACTAATAACAGAATATGTTTTTGCTTGTAAATGGAACATCAGAAAAAATATTTAAAAGGAACACCGATGTCCCTTCAAAGGGTAGAGTTAGTTTTTACTTTGTTACTTCACTGAGGTGTTACTTAAAATTTTTTGGTGGGCTAAAGATTTCCTTCGATAGGCTTAAAATTTGAGACAAAAGTCATGCGAATGATATATTTCTAAGTTCTAGCAAAATCATATTTTACCTGTAACTATCTTTTAAGAATAAAAACGTTTGGCACTCAAATGTGAGCAAACAATTTGTTCTGCTACGCTATAACTAGCTAGCAAAATTGAAACCTTTTTTTTTTTTTCAATCGAAACTTAGGTAAAGTAAGTAAGCTAG